AGTTACCGAAAAATAAAATAAACACACACACACATCCATAGACCAATACACCCTCAGATTCACCCTAGCGGCAAAGGTGACTGACTGACTATCTGACTGCCTGGTTGGCTGCCAATGGATGTGGAAAGTTGCAATTATTCTTGCCATACAGGGAAGGCAACAGGAGGAAAATCACCAAACAATTTTTGTCATTCTTCTGCTCCTTTCCCTTCATCCATGGATAGCAGATTGTGGCTGTAATGGCTTTTTTTGGGGCAGAGAAAAATATAAAATTGTTGTTGTTGCCAGTAATCTTGTTGTTGTTGATAGGATTCATGTGGTTGGCAGTGACTTTTTTGGATTTTTGCAGGGGAAGATTTTGTGGCTGGCATTTGGTGGCGGTTGTGATGATGCTTCTGCCGCTGCTGAGTTTTTTTTTTTTTGGTAATAAAATTGGAAAAAGTAAAGTTGATGACATTGAAATGAATATTTTTTTTTTCTCAAGAAAGACAACAGTAATGTTTACTGTTGTTGTTGTTGTTGCCGTTTTACCAGCAATTTAATTGTGTTTCTTGTCGCCTCGAATGAAGAAGACAAGACAACTGGAGGAGCAAAAAACAAAAATAAACATGTTCTGTATTTTATTTCATGTCCATAGAGCATCGCTCAGGTGTGCAGAGTATACTTAGTATGTCATACTCCATGTTACACGACATAGTAATATTCTTCGGAATTTAGGAAAAATATTGGTTACGATATTGGGTATTTGAAATTTACAGGATGTGACTTCCGCACGGAATAACTTGAAACAAATAAAAAAAGCTAAGTTCAGCCGGACCGAATTTTTTATACCCTCCAATATTTGGAAAGAACTGGAAACATTTTTAAAAAATTCCGAAAAAATACCACTTAAATGGAAAGCGTTATATGGGGACTATACGAAGACGTGGACCTGCTTACGAAAGTTTTTATCATTGGCTCCAGTACCCATTATGAACTTCAAATACGAAATTTGAAATAATTCCGGTAAATAATGTGACTAAAATTATGAAAATACCGAATATCGGGAGGTACCGCCATATGGGAGCTATACGAAGACGTGGACCTGCATACGAATTTTTGTTGATATAGGTTGTAGTACCCATTAAGATCTTCGAGGACGAAATTTGAAACGATTCCGGTGAATCATGCTGCTGAAATCATTAAAATGCTGACTATCGGGTGGTACCGTTATATGGGCGCTATAAGAAGACGTGGACCTGCATACAAAAAGAGTCAAAATACTTTTCACCATTGCCTTATCTATTCACCAAATGCTTGGATTCTCTCTTTTATGTAGGGCATCCAATATTTCGCCATAGCCGAACCCAAAACCATTTTACTTGTTTTTTCCCTGGCTTTTTTTCATTTAAGTATCAAGCAGACCAAGGTGTTATTTGCCGTTGTTGCTGTTGCCATTGCTGTACCATGGCAAAAAGAATAAAAATTGACATCAAGGATTCTCCATCAAGGATGTCAGGTTGAAACGTCGTTGGCAAACAACGACAACAACAAATATAATAATGATGAGAAAAAACCCGAAACAAGTACCGTATGGCGGGCAAAAGAGAAGGGTGATTTATTATTGGGATCTTTTTTCCTTTCAATGTCATGTAAAAAGCAAAAGGCGAAGAAGAAACAGTTAAGAAGAAGAATTGCCAACAGAAGCAATGGCAGCAGTGGCAAGAGCAGTAGTGTTAATAAATGGCTTTTGGATTTGGTTGCTTACATTTTGTTGTTGTTGCTCTCTATACAACCTCAGCCACTTTGAGCGGTAGTCCTTCAGCGGTAGTTTAAGGCTTGATAACATCTTGATTAAGTTGCCTCCGCCACCATCATCCTCATCATCGTTCTATGCAATTCTTAATGAAATGTGCATTTTATTACAAATAATAAAATAAAAACCAAAAGGAGGGAAATAAAATATGGATTTGGTTGAGTTTATAATATTGGAAAGGAATTTTCTAGCTATAAGTTGGCTCCTTATTGGAAACAAAGTAATAATCGGGGACTGTTTATGAATATTTTCTTATGTATTTATTCAATATATCATCATTATATTTAATCCATCGAATTAAAAATCGTGGATTTTTCTGATGATTTTGTAAACATTTTTCTGGATCTATCAAAGCAAAACGGCAATTAGAGAAATATTTTATTAACATTTTTGGGATCTGTTAGAATAAAAATTCTGGATTTTTCTTGGATTTTTATTTTTACTTTGTATATTTCAGGAAGATTTTCTCAGAATCGATCAAAGCAATATTTTGCCGATTTTTTAATATTATTTTCCCAGAATAATTCGAACGAACAGTACCATGTTCTTGGATTTTTTAATTATTTTCCCTGGACAGGTCCATAATATTTTTTGAGGAAAAATCCATATATTATTAGAGGAATTTTTTAAGAATATATTCAGAAGATAAATCAAAATACTTTTCGAGGATTTCTTAAAAAAAAAAACTATTTTCAGGATATGTCAGGGCAATAAGAGTGGATTTTGTGGGAATATATTCACTTCACGCTATATTTTTGGTATTTTTATACCCTCCACCATAGTATGGAGGGTATACTAAGTTTGTCATTCCGTTTGTAACACCTCGAAATATTAATTTTAGACCCCACAAACTATACATATATTCTTGATCAGAATAAAATCCTATTTCAATCCCCCATCACGTTTTGGTATAGTGCGCATAAACTGTATCTCCTTATATTCGTTTTTTTGATGATGTTAGCGACATTATTAACCGGAATTGTTTCAAATTTCGTATATGAAGTTCCTAATAGGTGCTACAGCCTGTGCCAGTAAATTGTTTATGCAGATACAGGGCTTAGCCCCCATATAACGGTACCTCCATATACTCGGTATTGTGATGTTTTTGCGGCATTATTCACCGGAATTTTTTCAAGTTTAGTATTCGAATACTTTAATGGCTATGATAAAAATTGCCTATGAACATCCACGTTTTCGCATGGACCCCAAAATAATGGCAACTCCCAATATTCTGCATTCTTAAGATTTAATATTTTCCAAGTATTTTTTTTTTAATTTTCTGTAGATATTGGAATTGTTTGAAATACATTTATTTTCTCAGAATTTTTAAAAATATTTTCCAATCTTTAGGAGCAATAATACTTGATATTTTATCATATGATACGTTTCAAACGTACCTCATCAAAATAACTGTCTACTATTTCACCATTTCTAAGAAAATAATTTACCTCATAGAAAAAGGCAAAATCATCCAATATTGTGAAAACTTTTCAAATCCTAATATTTTTATAAGTTTTAGGTTAGAGGAGAAAATGGGCAATATCGGCATACTTCATCAAGTACCACCCCCACATCGGTTCAAAATATTGAATAATTCTAGCTCGTGTAAAATGGGAAAAAGGGTTCGATGGTCTTCACACATCCCAATATCTTTGCCAACAAAAGATCTGGCAGAGACCACTTCTGCTGGTATCTCATCCACATCGGGTCAAAATTTTGAATGAGAATAAAGCTCATAAATCGCAAATTGAGCATTCGACTCCTTTCAAACTTAACACATCCCAATATTTATATGAACTCAATATCTGGTGTGAACCCAAAAAGGGGTTCAACATTTTGAATAACCATATTTCCATTGACGCAAGATCTTTTGTGAAGATGGTAAGTTTCAGCACACTACTCCTGGCCCCTCGCCCCGAAGGTTCAAAATTTTGTGTAACCAAAACTATCGTCAAAGACGAAGTGAGTATTCGAACCTTTTCTAATTTCACACATACCAATATTTCTATTAACACAATAATATCGGTCCACACCATCAATTACCTCCCCACAAAAGGTTTACATTTCGATTAACAATTTTTCTCAAAAAACAGGAAATAAATTTTTGATTTTCTTCAAATTTCCAATTTCCCAATCCAATTCGATTTTTTTTGTATTAGATGAAATATAATATTTCGCTCAACTATATCTGATACCTCACTCACATTTCGATATTTTCCAAAAATTATAATTGAAAGTTGTAGATATAGTCCAAATCTGTCAGGTTGTAATTATTATTATCAGACTTATGTCAGATATGGAAAGGACAATATTAGTCCACACCTTCGGTATCTCCTCCATAAAGGGTCAATAGTTTGAATAATCATAACACAAGTCAAAATATATTTAAATAAATGGCAATGACTCATGGTATATAATTGTCGGCAAGGCAGAGTGATACATTTTTCAGAGAATATCTCCTTGGAGTATAAAAGAAATAATCTTGAATTTTTATTGTCTCAATTTTTTATTACTTCGTAGGACATGTAGGAAATATCAAAGCAATGATTTTAAATAGATCAAAATTTCTCTGGGTTTTCTATAAATATATGCGCAGGATTTTTTATGAATATTTTTTTAGGGTATATCTAAAGTGACTTTTTATTTTTTTCACTATTTTTTTTTTTTTTTTTGAAAATGGTGTTTTCCGTTTGAGTTCTTTCCTAACTGCAACACATGCATACGATTTTACATCCCCTATGCATAATTTAACATCCCCTATTTTTGTAGTCTTCTCTGTAAACAGTTTTATTTTCATCATGTGTCGTCCTGTAAATAACTGATTTTTAGCCTTCCCCCTATGTTTTTATGCAATGGTGCATCTTGATACTTATAGGATAGAATAACTTTAATTATAATATACATCTGTATATACATAAACGTGTTGACGAAAATGACATAAGTATAGATATATAGAAATTTAACTGAGGGAGAAACACAGACAGTCAAGAAAGTTGTCAGAATTTATTGACAAAGGATAATATTTTTGGGTGACTTATGGTCAATGCAAAAATAACCAATAAAAATTAAAATACGTAAAATCGGCTTTAAATACAATTTGCATTTAAGGGATCACAGTTTCGTGATGGGTTATTTTATCCATTAATTTTTAGCAATTATTTTTTCCAAATTTTAAATAATAATACCTGTGGTGTTGTATACTTACATAATTAAATAGGTATTTTGGCCATGTTTGCAAGGTACACTGGAATAAAATGAAAAACATTTTTTAGAATATATAAAATCAATAACGTCTCCGTTTTTATAAATATTTAACATCCACAATGAATATTATATATAAAATAAGCCCTGCCCACTTGACCACACCTGAGATTAGATCGAAAGGTCTGAAGTGATTAACATAGGCATTAATAGCAAAATTGATTCAAAAATGCAATATTTTGTAGATTTTTTAAGGAAAATAGTCTTCTAGAGACAATTTATAGGAGAAAAATGAAATTAAATTTCTCTTCAATAGAATTCGTCATCTTTAAAAAAAATTATTGTTTTTTTTTTGTGAGAAGCTTGGGAATTTCTTCTACTTTAATATGGAATTCTATATCTGTGTTTAAGATTATGTAAGAGAATCTCTCACTTTCTTGACAATATATCACCAGTTTTAATTAATGAAAATAAAAAATGTCTTATTAATAATATAAAGTACCATCACATGGACATTGCAATTAGTCATTGTTGTTGATGTTGTCATTGTTAAGTTCCAACAAAAAAACACTACTGTTTCTTTGAAAAACCAAGAAAAAGAAATTAAGATACAAGTCACAATAACTTAAAATAACGGAACAAAAAAACGTATCGTCCAACAACAAGAGGGGTCCATTATTGCCAAGGAACAACCAAAAAGGTTTTCTTCTTGGCACAAAAGACGAAAACAAAACAAAGAATGAGAAAAAATGAAATAACAATAGACCAGCAGCACCACCATTAGGTAAAGGGGTAACAGTAGCGGCAGCAACAATGGTGTTCAACTCACTATGGACATGTGGATGGCTAGATGGATGACTGGATAGATAGCTGGTTAGGTAACCACACTAACTAACCAGCCCGGCAGCCAAGAACAATGCTGGCTTGCAAAAATAATGGCGATAATGTTAAGAGCTTTTTGGAGAAGAATGGATGCTGTTATGGCTGAAACTCAATATTAGTTATTATTAAAAATATATACAGGGTGAGATGAAAACAAAAAAAATTGCAACCTGCAACTTCAGACTGCTGTCATTTCTAAGCCACACATCCGAAAGCTGTTAAAATTATTCCAGTGACAGCTCATTATATTGTTTACAAGCTAGAATGGCATTTTGGTGAGAATTTTCCAGAAAAAAAGTTATTCGTGATGGAACTTAAGCGTCATAGTGTGATTTCTTTATATTTGGCTGGAAAACCACAACTGGCTATCGTTAGAGTACTCCAGCATTTAAATGTGAATAAATCGTTTGTGTCTCCTACCATCGCTCTTTACCGTGATACTGGTAGCGTTGCCCGACGTCAAGGAAGTGGACGGAAGAATACAGCAACATCAGCAGAAATGATTCGAAAAGTAAAGAAGCGACTTGATCGAAACCCGCGTCACAGTGGCCGAAAAATGGCTCGTGAGCTGAACCTATCGCAATATTCCATTCGGCAAATACTGAAAAATGAGCTCGGGGTAAAACCATTGAAATTCCAAAACACCACAACAGATACAAAATAGACTCAAAAGAGCTAAAGAGTTGTTTCGCTTGGCCGAAAGTGGTGAACTGCCGAATTTGGTTTTCTCCGATGAGAAAACATTCGTTGTCCAGCAGTTTGTAAAGAAACAAAATGTTCATGTATACTTGCCAAAGAGGTCAGCGGAAAATGTGCACCTTCGGTTGGCCACCAGAACTCAAGCGCGGCCATGATGATGGTGTGGGCCGCCATAGCAGCCGATGGTCGCTCTCCGCTCATATTAATCGACCGTGGCATCAGAATAAATGCCGAATATTATCGCGAAAATATTCTGGAGGGTGTATTAAAGCCTTGGGCACGCAAAACATTTTGGCCACAAACCTTGGACATTCCAACAGAACTCAGCACAGGACTCGCACTCAGCACGCGCCACCCAAGTATGGTTACAAAATGAGGTTCCTCGCTTCATTTCCAGGGCACAATGCCACCAACATCTCCGGATACCAATCCGTTGGCCTATTGTGTCTGGAGTATTTTGGAAAGCAAGGTTGGCACTAAAAAATACCAAGGTGTCGATCACCTCAAGCAAGCGCTTCGCCGAGAATAGGCCAAAATACCGTAGAGCAACATTCGGGCAGCGTGTGACGGTTTCATTGGCCGTTTGAAGGTCATAATTCGTGCCAAAGGTTGCCAATTCGAACAAATCTAAATTTATTCTAAAATTTGATGCTATTTCCGACTTTTATTTCAATAAAATATTTAAAAAAATGGAAAAACTATGGCGTTTGACTTAATTAACACTGGGTTTGCAAAGACGGTTTTCAGGTGACTTTATTCTTTTCTGTTCCAGAACCTATAAGAATTTTGTATTTCTGCTTTTTTTCGATTTCATAAATGGAAAATTAGTCATCGTAGTAAAAACTTTTAGATTTTTGGAGTTCGGAAGCATATGATACTGATGTTGACTCATTTCTCATGACTTTTTGCTATTCATTCCTCTTTTTTAAGGGTTTTATTTTTTTTTTTTTTTTAATTTCAGGTGGTCATAAATAGTTCCAGTTTGGGTTTCAATTTGCGGTAAGTTCTTCTAATTTTTTGGAAAATATTATATATCTGGGATATCCCTTTACGGAATACTCCACCAAGAAAACTTTTCAATATTTTTACCAAACCTGGTGTTAATATCAAAGCATAAAAGAAAGATAGACGAAATGCAAAATATGCCAAAACCAACAATGATTTGATTCTCTTTGGCGGAGTAAAAAGCCAAAAGATTCAAAGAAACCTCCAAACAAGCGACCACATTCACAGAAGAGCCAACCACACACAGAGAGAGGGACAAGGCAACAGAAGATAATAATAAAAGCACTTGAAGGACAACGTGTGCATAAACAATAGGCAAATGAAATAATAAAAACAAAACGAAAAAATAGAACAATTTCAAGAGATAGCATGCATTGGCTTTGGCCAAATCACACACACACACACGCTGTCCTTCGTATACGTGTACATGCATAACGGTTTGCCAAAGCAATCTACTTTACAATAAAACAAGAAGAATGAAAGAAATTCACGAGAAACAAAAACAAAAGAAGATAAACATGGTAAAGACAAACCAAAAGAATAACTGAGCAAAATACAAGAAAAAAATGACACAACAAAAACAATAAAGGCCAGAAAGCCATTACAACAATGAACACTAACACCAATAAACATTAGCACAAACACACACTCACACGGACGCTACAATTGTAACATATGCTTCGTTAAGCTTTTTCCATAACCTTTCTTTTTGTTTCATTCCCCTAAATCCCCTCAACCCACCATTTGGTCTAGTGCAAGGAAAATGACCAAAATGGACTTTGAAGGCTTTAGCAGCGGCATCAACTGCTAACCCAACTACTACCACTGCCATTCAACATTACATTAACCAAGAACAAAAGCTTGAACAAAGCAAATAGAGAAAACAAAACAACTACAACAACGAGAAGAAAAACAATAACATCAGTGTCTAATAAACGTGCCTAAAAGCATAAAACCTAAGAAGATGCTCTAGCCTTGTTTTTTTAAAATCAAAATAAATAAAAGAAGTAATGATGATGATGATGGCGTTGCCAATGATGAGGATGCCTCATTGTTGTTGGGCCCCCTTGCTATTTAGATAATGAGCTAGACACGGAGAGAGAGAGCGAAAAGAATACAGAGTGAAAGATAGGGTATTTCGACGAAAACGGGAGATTTGTGTGAAGTTGATGTGGGGGAGAAAAACAGGTGTGGGAACTGCCATGGGGCCATTCCAAGGTATTTAAAAAAAATATAACGGAAAAGGAAAACATTTGAGATATCAGTAGTGGAATTCTCTAACTCATTTTTTTAGTTACCTACAAAAGTTGGTAAAATTAAAATGCTTATAATTTCGGTAATTACCAAATGTTTAGGTAAGATAGCGACGAAATCAAAGTAGTCGCTAAGATCTAGCTATAGATACCAATGTTGTCAACTTTAACTAATGTTTTATATCAAGATTTTTGGTTTCAAAGTTTCCGATTTTTGTCGGTAAATAAAAAATGAGTTAGAAAATCGCGTTGCAGATCAGGTCATTTTGTCCCCTAAAGGCTAGTTTATGGATCATGATGGATTATCTTACATTAAGTATTTTTTAGCATACTTTTAGGCGCTCTCTAATTGCCTTTGACTGAAAAAAAAAAACGTTTTCTTGTTTTTTATGCTCTCAGCCATATGGCTAATCGAAATAACGGGTTTAGGTCTCTTTGGACAAAATCCTTTTTTGCACATTTGCGTACGATAATTTTCGAAGGTAGTATCCGATTTTATCGAAACTTGGTACATCATAATATTATTATCAAAATTAGATAGATTTGAGAGATGGGCAATATCGGGACACTCCTTCTGATACCCCACCCACAACAGGTCATTTTTTAATAAAATATCTTGCTTCTTAGAAAGTGAAAGTACCATCCGATTTTTCTCCAACTTTGCAAATCCTTATATAATGGTTGGTATTGGGTTCGTACATTAAGTACCTCTCCCACCAAGGGTCAAATTTTTGAATAATTATAACTCTTATAAAATTAGAGTCCGATTGTTTTCAAATTACACACATTCTTATATTTTCACATGCGCAAGATCTGGTATAACTATGGGATACATCGGTCCACACCTTTAGGTACCTTCCCCCAATGGGTCAAAACTTTGAAACGCGAAATGAGCATCCGATTTTATACAAGCTCGGGACATTTTAATACTTTTATCAGCAAAAGATCTAGTGTGAAGATGGTAGATATTGGACAACTCCTTCCGGTACCTCCCCCTCAAAGGATCAAAATTTTGAATAATTATAACTCTTATTTAATATGAACTAAGAGTCCGATTATCTTCACATTTTGCACATTTAAATATTTTCACTAACACAAAATCTGATATGAAGAAGGGAAGGGATAGCATCCACTCCAAGGACCACTCCAAGAGAAATGCGTTTACTTATTTTGTCTGCCTTATGACTGTCTTTTACTATACCAT